CAAGCCAATACTCAGAAAAGTTCTGAGCCCTAACGGGAATTGAACCACGTAACCTTCTGATAACCGGACAGACGCTCTAACCATTGGGCTATAAGGCATCAGATGGTGAGCCAAGGTTACGTTATGTACTAGTTCTGTGTGTTAAATGTGTACTGCTAACTGCAAGTCTCGACATGTCTTGTTGATGTTATTATTAAGAACTAAGAACATACAGAACTAGTAAATAACGTAACCTTGGCTCACCATCTGATGCCTTATAGCTCAATGGTTAGAGCGTCTGTCCGGTTATCAGAAGGTTACGTGGTTCAATTCCCGTTAGGGCTCAGAATTTTTCGGAGTATAGGCTTGATACGCATCCTCACCAAATCATATATATATATATATATATATATATATATATATATATATATATATATATATATATATATATATATATATATATATATATATATATATATATATATATATATAACGACAAAGAGATGGCTACGTATCGAAGAATTTATTAAAGATGACTAAAGTAAAGTATACAAATAATAAATTTTCGGCCACTTGACACGGCCTTCCTCAGAATAAAAACTAAGTTACAGTAAAAACTAAGTTACTAAGTCTTATTACGTTTGATGTGAGACCTAAGTCTCACATCAAACGTAATAAGAGAACCTGTGGTATTGTTAACCATTTTCTGGATTGTCATGGTGCTGATTATTCATTGTTGAAATTCATGCTAATTGATCGGCGCCAGGGCAACCTAAGGGAATGTGAAAATTTTTGGATTGGTATCCTATTGACTAATCGAAGAGAACTTAACTCTACGCATGATTTTGTACAACAACACGATTAGGTTAATTACTTAGCATGCTAAATAGTATAAATGCCATGTGCTGTAACTTAGTTTTTATTCTGACGAAGGCCGTGTCAAGCGGCCGAAAATGTATTATTTGTATACTTTACTTTAGTCATCTTTAATAATTTCTTCGATACGTAGCCATCTCTTTGTCGTAATATTATGTGCTGTTGGCTAAGGCAAGTTTTGGTCATTGTCGTATATATATATATATATATATATATATATATATATATATATATATATATATATATATATATATATATATATATATATATATATATATATATATATATATATATATATATATATATATATATATATATATATATATTTTCCGCTCCTAAATCAACTGACGTCACTTTCCAGAATTTGCAAGGTAAATTCTGATTGGTCGACGTAGCGGAATTCAGTTTGGCGCTCGGGTAAGCAGACGGTAGTATTTCGTCGCTTGGCGTAAGAATAACAACGTCTGTGAGCAGGCTACCTTTTTCGCATCTTTGCATTCAAATTCTAAGGGAATTCAAATTCAAACAATGCGTTAATTTCAATGCTTTGGGTTTTTTTGGGAAACCCTGTATGTGATATCTTCCAATTAAGACATTCAGTGAACTAGATAATTGTCATCTAATTAGTACTTGTATAACTAGACTTGATGTCGACAAAAGAACAAAAAAGTTCCGTATATGAAGTACCACATAAACAAACGCAAGTAAATTTTGTGCAGTGCTGTGCCAACTTTCAAACGAACGTTACTACAACGAACTGAAAATGGCAAAATTGATTTTTCTGATTTTCGATGTTTTTCTTCCGATCGTCCTCTTGGTGAAGCGATCTATTGTGATTCGATAAAGTCACTAATGGAGGAGAAGAGTGAAGCAAACAAAACATGCGGTACATTACATGCAGATCGCGGCTCATGTTTTAATTACTACATATATTGATCTCTAAACAGACTAGCATACATTGTCCCACAGCATAATAAGTCATATTAATCCCCGAGCTGACGGCGCGAAGCGCCGTGCGAGGGTATTAATTCCCCCCCGGCTATATTCATCCGGGGAAACGAAAGCATTAGCGAAGTCTAAAATTCATCAATTATCGCGGACGGGCGTCACCAACGATGGGTGGTCATCCTCAGTGATCTCAAAAACATGGTGGACTGTCATGAATAGCGCACACTGATTGGTCCAATTTAAAGTTTGCATTATAACGATTGCGTGACGACAGCGAAATAACAAACATTTCTTGATTGGATGATTGATAAATTTCTTGCAAATATATTTCGTTATTGCTCGCATTTTTGCAACATTTTGTCAATTTCAAAAGCTTTCTCAGAAAGAAAGGGCGAAAGAATCGGCTAAAAGAAGGGAGCCGACGTTAACGAAGGTAACTTTGTTTTAAATATTGATTTTATAATGCTTTAAAACCCGACGGCCTTTGCGTATATGAAACAACTAAACAAGACAGCATATAATTTCAGTGTATCTTTAATATTGATTCCCTTTTTTATTAAATTGAATTTTTTAGATAATAAAGAAAGCAAAGTTATTTGCTTGCGAGAATTTGAAATCTTTTTGTTGCAAACTCAAAGTTTATCGATAAAGCCATTTAATTAAAGGCAGTTTAGTTTTATAAAGAACACTTTAAAACGTTTTGCGAAGCGTTTGTTGTTGAATTTTACCTTAAATTGAAGCTTATATTACGTATATAATAAAATACATAACATGTATATGTTGATAAATTGATAATTTTGTAATTAAAAGTTATATTTTTTAGGCGATTTTTCATTTTTAAGAATATTCTTAAAAAGTTCTCGTGTTACCATGACAATTAATTTAGATACTTCAAGTCCGGAAAATACAATGGTTTTGTCAGCAAGGCGAGGGTTTCTGCATGCATGTATTTTCTAGTAATAATAAGTCAGTATTATATGTCACAAAGTAACATATTGAAATTGATACCAATTTCCCGTGCGTAATACAAAATGACCGAGAAACGGGAAACATCGCAGGGCTATATTATCGGCATTTTACAACATTTCGCAACGAAACTTCGGAATATCACTTATTTTGTGATGCTCTTTCAAGCTTTGGAGAATTTTTGTCTAGAATTGTTGAGCTCAAAATTTTGGTTATTAGCTAATAGTCCATTAAAATTGATTGCTATCTTTCAGATTCTGGGAGACACGTAACCGGGCCATACCAGGGTATTTTCTCTGCAGGTGGCTGTGGCACCAGAGCGTGAGAGAAAATAGCCAGGGTTCGCGGGTTGAACTGAGTCTTGTTCCTTCGATATCAATGTATTCTGAGATATGATACTTTTTGTGACCTCGGAGCTCAGTTGGTAGAGCGTTGGACTAGTATCAAAAGTTGTGTCTATAGAAATGCCGAAAATGAAGCCCCAGAGGCCAGAAGCTCACAAAACCGGCGGCGGCTGCACCTTTCTAACTTTATTTGCACAGTCTAACCATGCTAACCGAAGCTGATTTCCACAGGGGGCGTGTAAGAAGAAGATTACAGTATAGTAGAAAAGAAATTGCAGTAGTATAAACGTTCACAACCTCCTAGTTATTAGGTCCCTTTTTCGTGACACCCCCTCCCCCTACTGACAAATTCTTCAAAGAGGCCCTGCTTTAAACAGCAGCAATTGGTATTGTATTCAAAATACACATATATTTATAGACACAAACACTTAAGTGAAAGGAGCACGCTATAACAATATCCAAAATTGAGAATTTTTTTAAATTCATTTCATGAGATTCAGTGAACTGTGTTATTATAGTACTTTCCTCTAATTAGTACTTGATCACTAGACTTCATGTCGGTTATAATATTAAGTGACATACGAAGTTACGCACGCGACTTTTTTATGGATGAAATTTAATTACCTACGACAATGTATTTGGGAAAAATATAGTGAATCGGATAGTACTTCCACTGTCACTTAATCAACGCACCAATAAATACAACCATCTACAATAATCACAGGATTGCTTTATCTATTTGATATTATAGACTTTATGAATTTACCCGGTGAGCATGCACACCCCATCCCTATCCATTCGAACTAGCGTAAGGTAAAGTTGCTTCGGACCATTCAGGGATTTTTGGGCCCCTCTTTATTAGAAATCGTTGCCGCGTAACTGTATTAGACGGAACGATATGCAACGAACATCTTAAACGGGAACAAATTTGATTGGTATGCAGTCATGCGTTCCGTTATGAATCATTATTGAAAATTCCCGTGTAAAATGGCACTAAGTTTTAACAAAGTAAATTTTCTCACAACTCACAAGTGACTAACTTGTTATACTTTAGCGCGTAAAATAAGCATCATTGGAGTATTGTAAAGAAATGTATTTTCACGACAACAGGAATGAGGCCAATGCTTAATAAGTTATAACTGAATTTTGAGGCCCAAAAGCAACTTTATGACTGGTTGTTTTGTGTAAAAATAGTTGTTATAACGATCATACTAAAATGTCATCTCATTCCCAAAGGAGAGTTCAGATAAAATCACATTTTTGTTCATTTTGCCAGATTTGTATAAAGTGACGTGTCAATTAACTGAAAATTCTGATTTTGTAATGGCTCGCAGGTATTCATTCATGGTTCGCATGCATGCATTGTGCGGCTCGTGTTCCTCGTATGACTCGAACGCATGGTATTTTGTCCTTGTTGGGTGCATGGAACCAGAGATAAGGCGCATTAAGAAGTCGTTTGTGACAGGGGAAATTTTCATGTAGAAAAGGAAATTTATGGAACGTGAAAGGATTTTTACAAGGCGGTTGTGGAAGCCTTTAATTCTGGACAAACTATCGAATTAGCGGGCAGAATTAATATAAAGCGCTGCCAAACTTTACACGGGCACGGCAATTTTAGATTTATGATATACATAATATCTTCCAATTAAGACATTCAGTGAACTAGATAATTGTCATCTAATTAGTACTTGATAACTAGACTTGATGTCGGCAAAAGAAAAAAAAGGTTCCGGCGTTCCGCTTGGCATATGAAGTACAACATATGTAGTGACGCACGCGATTTTTGCTATATATCACGATGACATTTTATTGGTTAAACTTACCACGTGACGTGAGTGGCTTAAACGTTTTGAACGAAAACGCAAGTCAATTTTGTGCAGTGTTGTACCAACTTTCAAACGTACGTTACAACAACGAACTGAAAATGGCGAAAATGATTTTTCTGATTTTCGTTGTTTTTCTTCCGATCGCCGCTCTTAGTGAAGCGATCTGTTGTGATTCGATAAAGTCACTAGTGGAGAAGAAGATTGAAGCGAACAAAACATTATGCGGTGCTGGAAGCACACTGCCTCCTCAGTGTTGCAAAGATATTGCAAATATGGTTAAACAATTTGTTGATGCATATGAAGCATTTTGTTTGAATATTAGTAAGTACTAAGTATAAGTTAGTTGACGTCCACCGAAGCACGTAAACGAACGTATATCAGTGTCGTAAGAATCTGATTTCTAATTGGTTATTCATATAATAATATGTATGCATATTGCTTGTTAAAATTAAACGACGAATTGACTACACCCTACAGGGTGTGTAAAAAAAGTAGACAATTTGTTAGCACTGCTAACTTTGAATATCTTACTACGCTACTGTTGTGACAGTCGGATCATGTTTTGCGTGTCGTGTTTACTTACACTTAGCTGAAAACTGCGATACCCAAAATTAGCCCCCAAAATAAAACCCGTTCCGCCGCAACTGGAGTCAGACCTTTGAAAAGTTGGTCAAAATGGTCAGCAAAACTGTGTCCGCCCCCCCCCCCCCCCATATTAATATTACCGACCGTTGATACAAGCATGTATTAACTAACTCGTGTTCAATGGAGGTTTGATCTATTAATTCTTCAATTGCCGCTTTGATGATGAGCATATAAATTGGAAATAACACATGGAGAATATTTGAAAGATTTATAAATATACTAGATATGAAATAATTAGTAATAATAATATCAGTAATAATAAAAGTTTGCAGACTGAAATCCCAATGCCATGCAATTAACACCAAAATTAGAGCCATATATTTCTGCAGTGTAATGGCAAATTATCTATTTTATTCAAGCTTCATGTACAGATCCCAAAGCATTAGGAATGAGAAGTGGTAAAATACCAGATGATGCAATCACGGCGTCATCTACTTATTCCGGCAGTTACAAACCTAGCTATGCAAGACTGACAAAGGTAGGTTCTAGCTGCTCTTGGACACCTACTGCAGCAGGGAGAATTGGCTCGTGGCTTCAGGTTGATCTGGGACAACTCTCCACAGTGACAGGAATAGCAACCCAGGGAACATGCTATTCGTCGACTGAATGGGCAACGTCGTACTCGGTTTCATACAGCAATGAACCCAATTCATGGACACTTTACGAAGAATCAGGAAATGTAAAGGTAAGTCAGCGCATCAATCTTGTATGATGAAATTTTACAATACACGGATTCAGAAGTTAATAGAAAGGCGCGTGAACACTGGCATTTTTGGCTGCGTTTTCTAATGCGAATTTCTTCTTCTGATAATAAATAATAACAATAATAGTGATGTATATCGAAACTCTCTTGCACCATTTACAGTGAATTAACGAGTCTAAAGTGTTCCTAAAACTATTTGTACAAAAATGAACGAGGACATATGACTGTTAAAACTATGTATAAACATTAAAAATATTTAAAAGTAAAAAATTATTCTGATCTTAAAGTTCTGCGTCTGACTGTGTCTTCAAACAAAACAGTATTGTTTTGCCCACTTCGTAGGCTGTACGTGCATTCGCTCATCTTAAGTTTTGGGAGCATAAAGTGCAGACGATGATCCTCCTTCTTCATTTTAATCATGTAAACGAGTAGATGAGTTACGAATGTCCTGAGTATTGATAACTCGTTCACATGCATCGGAACTCGAAAATCGCACTAGAAATCGCAGCAATAAATTGCAAGTGTTTATAAACGGGCCTTAATAAGTGCACAAAAATTTGTCCGCTTAGGCCTGTTGTACTCTGGAAACTCGCCTGAGTGGGATAAATTATTGAAACCTCATCTGACTTTTTTTAATTTAGGTTTTTCAAGCAAACACCGATCGAAGTTCCATCGTTACCCACTCATTTAAATCTCCTATTCGTGCTCGGTACATTCGTGTGTTGCCAAAATCGTGGAGCAATTATCCTACAATGAGGCTCGAGCTTTACGGTTGTCGCCACTAGTTTGCATGTAATTAATACATGCATGCATTTTTATGTTACAGATCTGTGTTTTCCAGTAATAATTGCTATATATGTAATGCATGGTTACTTTTTCTTTGTAATATGTTTTGTTATTGTAATGATAATAAATTGTAGCTTGGCCAAACTGGCATGCAAGGGTAGACTGAATTCGTTCATTGAAGACTTATCAGATGGTGGTAAAGGGTAAATTCGTGAATTAGCCGTGAATTGTCCGCAATATTTGTTTTCGGGAAATGTGAAACGACGGATTTTTGTGTTCTGAAACGTGATTTACATGCCTAGCCGTGATTGGAGACTACACACGTAAAAACGCACAAGTTGCAACAAACCTGCAGCGGACTTGTAGCAATGCTGTTCCAACCAATTGTCAACAAGATGTGTTCGAACTGCTTGTTTCCGGCTTGTTGACAACTTGTTATGTTACATATCCCAAACTTGTTACAAGGTTGTTGAGTTCAACAGACTTGTTACAAGTTGTTCCAACAACTTGTTGTCATCCTGCAATTCAACAATTTGCCAACAAGTTGTGAATGACAACCTTGTAGCAACTTGATAAAATAACAGCATTGTTACAACTTGTTGACAAGCTTGCTACAAGCCTGTTGCGAACACATCTTGTTGATAAGTTATGAGATTTTTGCATGTGTAGATGAGCGCTGTAAGAAGTGCGAACGTGAAGAAAAGCAATGCTTTGCATGCAATAGTTTTACTGCATGCATCATGTATTTTCTTGATTTTGACTAGACAGATTGGTTGTTTTTAAAAAAAGTCTCAATATCGAGCTTTCAGTCGTGAAATTAGTTTGGAAAACGTAAAAATTGGATTAAGAACGATATTAACTACTCATGATAGGAAATAAAATTTGCACAGTTCAAAAGTCAAAACGTGTTTTTATAACTTTTGTGAAATTGCTATTTTTTACATGTGAAACGTGAAGAAAGACAGTCATTTCACCCCCCTTAACAGCCTCTTATCATCGTACACAATTCCCGGTATTTTCACAGCTCCTAATAGATGCCATGCTAGGGGCAGTTTAGTCACGAAAATTAAACGCTTTAATTGGCTACAAAGCGGTCGATTCTGTTCTATACAGACAGCTTAACTAAGATTAATTGGTTTGAATTTTTTGGCATTTTGACTGTTCAATTTTAACTTTTTACAATTTTTGAAATTACACCTTAGTATTTATTATTAAACACTCAGAATTTTTTTGGGGACGGACAGACGCATTTTTTCGTTCGGTGCAGCCGAAATTTTGATTTATTGATTTGATTTGATTTGAAAACTTGATACCTGGAAATTAATTCAGTGAACACACAGCTAAAATTAACATGCTTGTCTAATTGTCTTACTTTCCGTAAACAAGTGATCAGTGTTTGTAAGTCGTTATTTAGGAAATATTTTTATAACCATCCAATCATACAGAATCTGTTCATCTGGGGCCGTTGGTCATCTGCTGTTTTTGTTTATGTACTTCTGCATGATCATTTGTTTCAAAACTTTAGAAAATAAAATCTCTATTGAGCCAGAAAAGATTTCCGGAAAAACATATTCAACTTGATCGGTGAGCTGTTGGAAAATGTAATGTATAGATTTGTTTTAACTCAGGGTTAGGCTAACTGGCATTTGAACAACCGGCCCCTGGCGTCGTGATGACTCAATTATTATTAGGGAGCTAAAGCTACGTTTACACGCTGCGATTTGTCGGGCCGATTTTTGGTAAATAATCGAAGTCCCTTCTTCGACATTTAGCGATTTAAACGTTCAATTGAAGCTGTCCGCTCTCTCGTCTGTTTATATTATAGTTTTCTACGTGCGAAAGGTTTTCAACAATTTTGCAACGGAAGAATTTTGTTACAAATTTTTCTCACGATTTTGTGAATTGTAAGGTGCTGGCGCGAGTACTAGCCTCACGACAGGTTATTTACATACAGCGAGCAAAATCGGCCCGACAAATCGCAGCGTGTAAACGTACCGCAAGGAAACAATAGGGAGCTTTAGATTTGACTACGAGTTCGACTACGAGTACGAGATTTGATCGCGTGCGAAGAAGTTACCGTAGTCGTTCTCGTTTCCATTAAAATGTTGCTTTTATAACAGTAAATCAACAACGAGAGAAAAAGTTTAATAAACTAAATCTCCTGCTGACTAAAATTCCCTAAAAAACGTGTAAATAAGTCATAACATTAAAAACAGGCCAGATATTTAGTACTAATATATTATTTGCGCCGGATAAACGCTATATAAATGCTACAAATTATTTTTGGAAAACAAAAAAACGCCAACTTTCTTTGTTTTGTTTTTTAAAGTCGTCGTGAGGACTACGAGGTTTCTCCACAATTTCGTACTCAAATGGGCGACGGCTATGACTTCTTAGCGTCAGTACGGGATGGCGTAAGCATACAGCATGCGATTAGCTTGACGAATCTCGTACTCGTACTCGTAGTCAAATCTAAAGCTCCCTACTACCTCACGAACGACGACAACAACCGGAAGTAAGTTTGCACGATTGTGAACCCATTGCGCATGCTTAAAATATGTTGACGTTCTCAAGTCTTTTGACGTTCTTGTGAAAATGTGAGTGTAATTTCGGATTTTTTGGCTGCTATATTTTTTTACGTAGATAAGCATAGCCCAATGTTTGTTTAAATTAAAAAGGCATTGAATCTTTCTTATGTAGATACAATTCGGTATTGATAAGAATTTCATGCTTATTACAGGGACTGGTCTATACCTGCATGGGTACGAAAGCCGCTTGAGCAACATACAAAGCCCTGTCAAACGTAGCAGGAATTGAAGGTTTTCTGCAAAAACTAAGATGTCCTGTTTGCGAAATCTGAACTCTGCCAAACATTCATCTTCACAGTGGTGCCAAAATTACTTTTTGAATTTGTACTCGAGTAAAAGTAGAAGTAATTAACAATAAAACGACTTGAGCAAGAGTAAAAAGTACTGGAGGCAAAACGTACTTAAGTGAAAAGTACAAAGTATCCTTAAAAAATAAGTAAAAGTAAAAGTACTATTGTCTGTAGCGTGTAGTGGGGGAGGGGAACTTCTCCTATGGATTAACATACAAAAGACACAAAACAACACACGCATTATATGTGTGCGCCGAATATACAATATTTCACGGCATGGTCTACTTTCCAGACCCCGTTAAAGATATAAGAAATCCATTAAATAAATAAATCTTAGAAGTACAAGTCATAAACGAGAGATCCCACACGCATGTAGAGGGCGTATTACCTTTCCCGAAATTAAAATAAACCAGAAATAAATCAGGTAAAATTAAACAAAAGTTAGAAAGTAACGAAATACTTCGCCAGAAAATGAAAATAACGAAGTAAGACGTTACTTCTTAAGATTACTTCGTTCCAAGTAATAGTACTCCAGAAAAAGTTTACTTTGTTACATGCTCACTTCTCAAAAATAGTAGTCAAGTACAGTAACGAAATACATTTACTTCGTTACTTGACACCACTGCATCTTCATCCATTTCATGAAGGTTAAAATCAGCCGGGTACAACTCGTACGGAAAATCTGGGCTTCTTGGGTCGTATGAACAATATAAAAACAATAATTGTTCATCATCAACGATACCTTGGTCTTGGCATATGAGAAATAACTTCTGTAATTCCTAAAAAGATGACATTTGTATGAGCAAGTTAACTTTTTATTGTTGTCAAAAATTCTCAACGTTGTCGCAAAAATTCTCAACGTGTTGCAGTGTTGCTCAACTTTTGTATTTCTCGCGGAGAACGGCGTTTTCGTTCCAGTTCTTTTTCCAACTCTACGTCATATTCCAGTCGTCGTGCGATAGGGCATCGTCTGGTAAATATGCAAAAATCGTGTAAATCACAATAGCTTAATAGTTCACTAGTATAAATGGTGAATCAGTCAATCAAAGCTCCGTTTTAACATTTTAATGATAATAGTTAAACACAGGAACAACTTAGAGAATTTACTGACGCAATTATTTAACTGTATTTATTCATTATTTGGGATATTTTGTGGAGGAGTGAATGGTATACATAGATGGCTAGTTCACTACTTCATCTTGTATTTAGTAACACTAACAGACATTATTATCAGTCTATTTGTTAATTGCACATAGCAGAACGACAGTCACTTCAGATATTTTTAAAATATATCAAAGTACCGAAAATATAATTAGGTGCACATAACTGGTAGGCCTACTCTGGGGCGGTGAATCGCCTTTAAATCGCCTAAAATCGCATTAAATCGCGGGTCAAAATTGTCAAATTTCTCTTAAATCGCCTAAAATCGCTTTAAATCGCCTAAAATCGCTTAAAATCATGGGCGTACTGGGCGGGGGGTGGGGGGGTGGTTGGGAGTTGGGTGGACGGGGCGACCGCCCCCCCCCCAGTTGCTGGCTGGGCAGTCGCCCCCTGGCTTTGTTGGGCAAACAAAGCCAGCCGGGCAATATTCGCTTCACAGTCGTGTAAAATTGGTTTATTATAGAAATAAATGGGACAAATTCTGTCAATTTTGTGGGAAATTCTGTCAATTATGTGGGAAATATGCTATCTAATAGGAATTTTTTGTAATCACTTCTTCCCCCCCCCCCGTCGACAACAATTTTGGATAGTTTCTCCGCCAAATTTTTTTTGACAACGTGTGCATAATCCGAAAAAGTCGGGCAAATTTCTTTCCAACCCCCTAATTTTTTCCTTCCCGTACGCCCATGCTTAAAATCACATTAACTCGCCAACATGCATTCTGTTTGATACATTCAGTCAATGATGTACTCAAGTTTATCAATTGCTGCTATTTTGCTGGCAAATCATGTATAATCCAGGTGTTTTGCAATCAAAAGTAATGCAACATGGATAAATCAAATAAGTGGATTAGGCTGACAATATTTAGTCACTCAATAGGCTCCGGTCATTAATAAAAACAGAGCCTTTTTCTGCTTTATGCAGACTTTACAATAATTAGGCAATTCTGGGATATGAAAGACCCATACATTCCATTACACTACCAGTTACTGGTTAATTTCATTATTGGTGTAAAATGTGGAGGCTGGGCTACAATTTATATGGACTATGGTGGCCAGGCTACAAATTAATCTACAATATACATGGCTTCTCAAAGCCTAATTGCTGTTAGAACAACAGTCTATGATAATGAGAGTCAATGAGTACGAGTATATAATAAGGTCATCCTGCAATTTGTGCACTGTTGCATGTAGATCGAGCACTGCATTGTATACAATGGTTGTACTTCGACATGTGCATGGTTATACTCTAGTTCCTAGTTATAATTATATTGGCTATCAAACGAAAGACATACGTGACTGAGGTTATGAGCGAGATTTGCAAGTTTTGCAACTCTCATCTATTAAATTTTCCAGACCTGTATATAAAATAAACAGTAAAACAATGATTACATCGTACATACCATACAATCTTTGTTGTTGCTTGTTTGCAGAACACTTGACAAATTATCAGGTAAAAGACTTAAAACCACGATGTAGTACGCGGTGTGCCACATTTTGTTTAGTAATTTTTTAAAATAATTTAGAATTCCGACCATTTATATGCGATATACTTCATGTAAATTAAACTTTACGGCATTACGCCGACAGTTTCCGAATGCGTGACAATACTGTTTCAAACTGTTTCTGGATATAGATATCAAACATAATTTTATAAAACATGTTTGTTGAAACAGTTTAAATAAAATGCAAGCTAAATAAAGAAGTGTTGACAAGATACAAAACAAGACAATTTCACTTACAAGGGTGACAAGGTAATTTATAGGAATATAGCTTAATATTGTAACTGTATAAATACATTGTGCGTTTCTACTCCCTGTGGGCTGTGGTTCTTTTGGAAATCAAATATCTATTATATTTTGCAATTAATAATATTAAAGTTTAGCCTAAGACATATGTAGTTTAGTTATAGGTTGGCATTTTGCAATTATGTACCGCAATTATGTACATGCCCCTTAAGTAGAGTATATTTATTAACTGTTTACAATATTTGTGGTATATAATGTAGCCATGAATGACCACATGACCCCACAGGATGTACTACAATGGCTTCTAAATAAGACATTGGATGAAAAGTTCACGAATATTGAGCTTTTTATACGATATAATAGTATTATATGATATAATACATAATTATTAACCTAGCTTTATATAAAATGTACATACATGTTCTAATAATTGTATTTTGCTTCATACAATGCATATGTGTGTGAAAACATTACATTATTCAGCTCACTCCCCTTTGGGGCTTTTCAGTCACCGCTTACATCAAGTATTAGGATTACTTATGTTAGTCTAGACTATTTATCTTCATAACAATGAGAATATGATAGCACTTTTCTAACTGTGTTTATTCTAACTCACCCTGCCATATTTTGCCTTGTGGGAAGAAACCAGAGCAAAATATAAAATTCAATTACCTTGAAAACACCTAAATTGCAATCCCTAAAATTTACAATTTTCTCTTAAATCGCCTTAAATCGCCTAAAATCGCATTATATCGCAGTGCCTGAAAATCCCAGTTTTTCCTTAAATCGCCTAAAATCGCCCAAAATCGCATTATATCACAGCGATTTAGGGCGATTTACCGCGCCCGCAGGGTAGGCCTACTGATTCATCATTAGTAATAGTTGTACCACAGTCGAAGAATGTAATGAGTGGACAGTTGGAAAAATTGTTGTCTACCAGTTACAGTAAGAACCATCCATAAAATGCTTAGCAGTATCAAACAAGTGAAAGTTGGCCGCGGTATTCCCATGCTATGCATACGAAGTATTGTACATTATATCAACATAATTATACTCGAGAATAGTTATCCAGCTAAACATGCATGTCAAAATTATCACATCTTCTTGTTTTAAATCAACAATTTTGACGGATTTTGTGCAAGGACAGCTTCGGGTTCCGTTTCACTTTGGCCGATGCTTGAAATTTCCTGGAAGTACACTTATTTACCGGAAGTTGTCGTCTCATCCGCAGGCTCTTCCACAAGCCTCTCCTTCCGCAGCCTCTGCGCGGCTCGACACAAAATGGGGAAAAAATAGGAGCCGAATTTATGACCTCAGTGTTGTACCGACACGAGGTAATTAATAAATTATTCAGCTATATTGATTGTTTTGATATACAGTACAGGGTGTATAAAGAACGAAACCTTTCGGAATCAAGCTGTTGTTGGAATTTGAATGCACAACGCTGAACCCATGCCTCGGGTCGTAAAACAGAATAGAAGTGAATTTATACATGGCGAAGTTATTTAAAACTTTAATTTGGTTTGACAATTTTTTATCTCCTTCATACGATTAGAAGCTCTTTTAAATTCCCAGGATCATAAAATCTTGTGCTGGCAACAACAGCTTGATTTGTAAAGGTCTTGTTTTTTTATACACTCTGCATCATTTATTTGTGCAGGCATGATGTCCCGTGTGTTCATCATCATGTCCATTAGCAAAATTATATATGTAAGTAACAGTTACTAACGTTAGACCATTCTCCTACAACTTCCTTGACCATCTTGCATGGCCATTAAAATCGCGTGGGATTACAATTGGTGTAGTCATAGGGCCTCATGGATGCGCGAAATTTAAACTGAGCGAAAAATGATCAGCTCAAAAATGGTGTGCTACACACGACTGGTGGCGGCGACTCAACCTGTCAGCTAGGTCAGCCGCTGTGAAAATTAGTATCCATTCTCAGATTTTCCTAGATAATGAGAAACTATTTGTTAGCAGAGGTGTGATACCGTTTTGGCGCTTTTATATTTATGCTACTCTCTTTAAGCTTTCACGTTTAGAGTGCCACCTAAAAAGTTGCAAGCGAGGAAGCGAGCCCTTCGAGCGGCAGACGAAGGCTCATCATCGCAACGCAGCCGTCGTCAATCGACTAGGAACTCGAAGTTCGCGTCCCATTCGAATGTAGTTGTGGTAGTCGAATATGTGGTAGCCATCCACTGTGACTCCTACCACGGTTCAGAGCTGCGGAAATGCAACATCTATAGTGTGACATGTCAGGAAATAGTATAATGTTCACTCGCGCAAGATAACAGACATAAATAGAATATTTGATTACGAATAGGAATCTTATGTCTGTCATGTTGTTATTATTATCATATTAATTAACTCTGCCAAGGGTGTGGAGGAAACCTGCTTTGCAAAGATAAAACTTAGTTTAACTTTAACTATAATTTAACAGATGGAACAACTAGATTATTTACAAGGTGCTGTCATAAAGATGCACTCAAACATTTTACCTTTAGTTGCTTATATAGTCAGCCGTCGAGGCAAGTTATTAATCTTTTCAGCAGTAAGTTTTATACATCCCACCTCCTCCACACGCCTGCATCCAACATTCTGGTGGTTATGGTATCGGGGGTTGTGTGGGCGTAATTTTTTCCTTCACACCTTACTGGACAAAACAATGTTGATAAATACCTGTATGTAAAAGTTATAGTTAATTATTTCTGTTAAAGTTAATAAATAGTAAGTAATTTCAAGGATAAAATGGCTAGGGGTAATTGTAACCCCTAGCTCAAAATATCCCAAACTCGCGTTTGGCTCTTTCATTATTAATTAATAGGGCAAAACAAGTGCCCAGGAACGAGCTACGGAAATGCAACATCTATATAGTGCGGCATGTCAGGAAATAGTATAATGTCCGTACTCGCGCAAGATGACAGACATAAATTATGCTCTGTTCCATGTTCCAGGTTCCTGTATCGTTGTATCGCCTTTAGTAGCAGCCGTGACCGTGACGTGCTTGGCTTGCATTCTAGACCTAGCTTAATCAGTACTAGCTTACTGGGTAGATCCCAGCAGAAACACGTTTCGTGAGCAGGCTGCTCCATTTACTGTTCTAGAACATTTGGAACACTGTGCTGGAACGATATAAAATGGAGTGCCACGGTGTTCTGCAACAGTGTTGAGTGCATGCAACCATGCATGCAACCATGCATTACTATATTAATTAGTTATTCGAATAATAAAGCGCATAATCATTTTCTGTTATTTGTACATCTACGTATGCTTTTGCAACGTTTTTACTCGTTGATTTTGCCCAACCCTGGAGTTCAAATAGCATATAATCAGTATATGTCGAAATATAGCGGTTAGCCCTTCAACCCTTCAAAATAACGCTCTGTACATTGTGCATTGGATACACAAAATATTTCGTAAAAAAAGGCAGCGTCACGTGCCTGTTCTGGCTGCCCCCACTCGAACATCGGGGTAGTCAGAACAGTTCAGAACAGTCATGTGACTCTCTTCTGTTCCATTCCATTAGTGTTCCGAAAATCCGGAGTACTCCGAACAGTAAATGGTGCAGCTTGGAGGGGTCTACGAATAAACGAAGAAAAGCTTGCCGGGCCTACGTCATATCCGTTTTACGTTTTGGGTAAATTAACTTTATATTAAAATGTTCCATAGACCATGGTGGGCTTTGTGCAATACAAATGTATTCTTTGCTTCAAAGTCCCGTCGAATAAAAGCGATATTAATTTCTTGGACTGCAAGCAGAACAAATGTAAGGAGTTAGACGACCTGTCCTTCTCAATTTTACCTGCAAATAGCACTTGTAAAGCCTGTCTGGCGTTGATAAATAAACGGAGAAGCTTCAAAGAACGGTTATGTGAACTAGACAATACGATAACGAACGTGCACGAAACAATATTAAACGCTATTGGTATACCACTTAAAGTATAAAGCGAAATTTCGTGAGGAAACTGGGATTCGAGCCGACATGCGGTAAAACTTTTACTCCGGCTACATTAAGCGTGAAATCGACTTTGTCTTCGACTGCAGAAATTGTATGTCTTGACAAGCTTCAATAGCCTAACAGGTTTGTACGAGTGACAAGAAATTTTTTATTTAAAAATGCACTTACAACAAATCGTGTTAAAATATACCCTGACTATATATATATATATATATATATATATATATATATATATATATATATATATATATATATATATATATATATATATATATATATATATATATATCCAACTATTAAACACATGTCCGAACGGACTAAAAATCGCTTGTCATTCATACAAACCTGTTGGCTGTTGGAGCTCGTCAACATAAAAGTTTTATCGCACGTCGGTTCGAATCCCAATTTCCTCACGAAATTTCGCTTACTTTAAGCGGTATATCAATAGCGTTTAATGCTGTTTCGTGCACGTTCGTTCGTATTGTCTAGTTCACATAACCGTTCTTTGACGCTTCTCCGTTTATTTACCAACACCAGACAGGCTTTACAAATGCTATTCGCAGGTAAAATGGAGAAGGAAAGGTCGTCTAACTCCTTACGTATGTTATCCTTGCTGTCCAAGAAATTAATTTTATTCGACCGAACTTTCAAGCAAAGAACACATTTGTATTGCACAAAGCCCACCCACAGGCGGCCCAATCTCAGAATGAATGATCAGGTGTTGCGGATCTTTACCGGTTTTATAAACAAATTTATAGTCAACCAAAACTATTCTAATAACATTCTCAAATTAGTCAAATAAATACATTTTAACAATAAATATAGTTGACCTTTTTAGTATAAACCTTGACATTCTTTTAATTAATCCATGAGCTCATTTAGAGCCGTTGATGTAACATTTTTTGTGGCCTACATTGTGTGTGCTCATTATTGCGTTCGACGAAGGAGAACGCTTCCTAATCGTGACGTCACGGCTGGATGCTGTGTCCTTTTGAGATTTTTGGATGTAACATTTGCCTCGCTTTCGTGTTCATGGCATTTGCCTCGGTTTCCGGTTTCGTGCGGCGTCTTTGTGTTTCCATGTGCTTTCCATATTTTGCGAAGACAGAAGGAGATTTTAGCTGTTGTTTTGGGGTATTTCCTGCGGTTTAATGTAAGGTAATCGGTGGTGTTGTGTTATTTTTATTACACTTATCATCAAAGGTACTTATCAAGGCATCAAGAATTTGTCTTGTGGTATTTTATCGACTGGCAATCCGACATTTCAATTTGCTATCTTTTTAAATTGTCAGCTAGAGTTCACAGATTTAACTTGAGTTCGCTCTGCTTAATAAAGTGTTTGGATGCATGTCCAGTATATATATTCTCTTTGGTCATTGAATGTTGATGAAGTAAACGTTGTTAAGCATTTTAATTTGCAGAGATGTGTTGAAAAATACGAGTTTTAATTAAGCATGACAAATAAATACACAAATCCCAGTTTGGCTATAGTATACTAGGTGGACATACAAATATACAAATCCCAGTTATTTTGTTGACACAATGAACCTAATCAGTAATCATAATATTCATAGACAAGCAGAGCGAAGTTTTACTGACGAATTCAGCTGTATTTTTCATGAACATTTCTTGCCAGCAGGGTAATGAAATTTCTGATGCTTTGATAAATTAGTCGGTTGGAACCTTTGTGTTTATATGGAAGCTGGGCTGGCCCGCTTAGTGAGACAGCCTGGTAAGCGGGATGAATTTCTCTTGTCCAGGCTGGCCCGCTTAGTGAGACAGCCTGGTAAGCAGGATGAATTTCTCTTGTGTTAACAATTTATTGTTTTGACAGTTGTTAAAAATAGCTTGTGGCAGTATCTTTGAATTTCCATCCCTGGAACCGGGCTAGCCTGCTTGTGAGTGTTATATGGAGAAATTTCCATCCCGGTATGCGAGATCTCACCTCTTTCAAGTGAGATATCGGCAACCGGGACATCCCGATTGTATTCAGCAAATAATAACAGCAACTTGCCTTGGAATGTTTTGTTCGCTTATAGAGAATATAGTGCCATATAACTGTGAAAGTTCACCTGGTGACTGCTTTTTTGCATCCTCAGGACATGGCCTTTATAAAAATCCTAATTTGCCATCTTGATATTCATAGTGCAGGCATTACACATTTAATGCATAATCCTGAGTTATAAATAGAGGATATTACACGGCGGCATGAAGATATGACTTTTATCTTTGAGTGGTGAAAACAATATTTTATGAACGAGTTACGAACGAGTACAGCGAGTGAGTAAAATATTGTTTTTAACACGAGAAGATAAAAGTCGTATCTTCAAGCCACCGTGTAATGTTCTGTTTATTATATAGTCCCAAGCAAAAAAATGTATAAATACTAAAAGTCACATGATCGATATCTTCACTAGTGAAGATATGGGAAATATCTCACTGTGTATTTTTTAGTATCTTACTCTCTACTATACCGGTACTGTATAATAAATTGAAAATATTTTATGGGAAAATTATGTTGAAGAAATGTCACAACCTGGAACATAGTATCATTATTCAAGCAGGAGCAAATGCTTTAAGCTGCACTATTCATATTACTGATTCCAGTCCAAATGCTAATGCAACCATTGTAAAACCCAATTAGTTTACACCAGGGGCACAGAATTCTATTTAGTTGAGTTGCAAGGCCTATAAACTCAAACTGAAGAAATGCTCATTGCATGCTCAAGCTCGCCTATAATTAGGGTTTATATCATAAACCAGGCAGGCAAATGGGGG